TTGTGTGTTTGAGTGGGATCCATTCATTAGCATGTAACTGAGAAGATTCCATACGGCATCTGCCTAGAAGTAGCCTGGCCTTTGTTCTCTGAATTGTTATTGCCTGGAGACATCCTTTGTCTGGATGGTGCTTACTTGCCCTTGATTGCTTCCTGCCTGGAGGCCTCCTGTGTCTGAGTGGTATTCATTAGTTACGATCTTGATTTTGGTGTTTTTCAAGCTTGCTAATTGCACCCTTCACACTTTTATTATCAGATATTGATCTTTTCTCCCACCCTGGACAGCCCACAGGTATATATATTCCTGCCTTACCACCATCAGATCGTCTGAAGATGCCAGCCACAGATGTAGGCAAAATGTCAGGAGAAAATGATGCTAGAACACAACCATACAGTCCAGAAACCATACAACACCCGAATGATTCTGGCCATGAAAGCCTTCAATAATTAAATTACTTCTGAAGGAATGTGACCCTGACTGGAGGAAATGCTTTTTTTTTTCTAACTAGTACTGTCAACATTATGGAGTCCCTGGTGGCACAACAGGTTAAAGCGCTGAGCTGCTGAACTTGCTGACTGAAAGGTTGGTGGTTCAAATCCAGGGAGCGGGGTGAGCTCCCGCTTTGGTGATACGAATCCGGGGAGCGGGGTGAGCTCATGCTTTTAGGCCCAGCTTCTGCCAACCTAGCAATTCAAAAACATGCAAATGTGAGTAGATCAATAGGTATCACTCCAGCAGGAAGGTAACGGCACTCCATGCAGTCATGCTGGCCACATGACCTTGGAGGAGTGTACGGATGCCAGCTTTTCGGCATAGAAATGGAGATGAGCACCACCCCCCAGAGTTGGACATGACTAGCCATAATGTCAAGGGGAAACCTTTACCTTTACCTTCCTGTCAACCTTAACATGGGGTTGACACATCCCCACTGGTAGCTGATATGAAGGCATGCATAGGGATTAGGTAAGGAAGTGTGATCTTTACCATCACAAAATTGATCCATCCTCTAATGGGGCAGCTTCTGTCTGCTTCTTTCAGTTTTTAAAAGTTAGTCCCTACAAATCTTGGTTGTGTTCAGACATAACCAAGACATGGATCATGAATGGCCAGGGTGTGAAGACAAAGGGTTAGGTCTGGAGTAGAAATAACTGGCCTACAAGTGGGACCATTGTTGAGTCGGGAAGAAACTTTCTCTGACCTGATATGATTGTTCAGAATTAACAAACATTAAATGCACAAGTTGTGCTAATGCGGGAGCTTGGAAAGCTTAAAGAAATGGTTTTTAGAAATATTTGTAAAGCTAAGAAACTGTTTGAAAGTTAAACCTGATACATTATTCAGCATGGGAGGCTTGTTAATAGGTGGAAAATGTTGTTGTTCATTCGTTCAGTCGTTTCCGACTCTTCATGACCTCATGGACCAGCCCACACCAGAGCTCCCTGTCAGCCATCACCTCCCCCAGCTCCTTCAGAGTCAAGCCAGTCACTTCAAGGATGCCATCCATCCATCTTGCCCTTGGTTGGCCCCTCTTTCTTTTTCCTTTCATTTCCCCCAGCATCATTGTCTTCTCTAAGCTTTCCTTTCTCCTCATGATCTGGCCAAAGTATTTCAACTTTGCCTGTAATATTCTTCCCTCCAATGAGCAGTCGGGCTTTCTTTCTTGAAGTATAGACTGGTTGGATCTTCTCGTTGTCCAAGGCACTCTCAGAACTTCCCTCCATCACCACAGTTCAAAAGCATCTATCTTCCTGTGCTCAGCCTTCCCTATGGCCCAGCTCTCACATCCATAGGTGACTACGGGGAGTACCATTACTTTAACTATGTGGATCTTTGTTGCCAGTGTAATGTCTCTACTCTTCACTACTTTATTGAGATTGGACATTGCTCTCCTCCCAAGAAGTAAACATCTCCTGATTTCCTGGCTGCAGCCAGTAGAACATATAGCATATAATTAATAATTATACAGACACGAGCCGATTGGATTTTAGGCACCCATCCTATTTTCCAGAATGTTTTTAGAAAACTGAAAGCTAAAATTAAATAGAAACTAGGTATAAAAGCCCACCCATTTGTAAACTCGGGGTGGGCAGCTTCACTTTTACCTGCGAGAGCAGGAAGATCGCTCACCTGCCTGGCCAGGCATAATAAATGATTGTTTTCACCTATTTAGATTCACTTGCTCTCTTCCTGCTCCTCTCAGATTCATTACACTTCTGTACATAGATCTCCAAAGTTGCTGTTGTTAGCAAGCCATCAGCATATCACATGCATTCGGCCAGTTGTCCCATTTGCATGCTGCACTCCTGCTACTGAAATCATATTAAACATACAGAAAGAACATAACAGAACTTGGAACAGATGTCATATTTTGGATCAACAAATCTAGCTGGAGAAATTTTGGACGAAGACAAAGCCTTCCTAATTCTAGGCTACGGTCCTATTTTCTCCTTCAACAAGCCTGAGAGGCAAGTTAGGAGAAGAGGGTAGTGTCAGACACAACTCAGGTGAGCAGGGATTTGATCCCGTTTGTCCCCAGTGCACAGATTTATCCGCTGCGACACATTAACACACCAGTAGCATTGCCAAAACTGACAGATGCTCACCCTGCTTGTTCCAACCAGGGCCAGAGAAAAGATGAAAATGTTTTTGACCTTTCCTTTCCAACCACAGTGGAACATATGGCAGTAAACACGCATGTGCTCCTTTTGCAGAACCTTCCTTCCCTAGAACTGCACAGCCATGGTCCTTTGGACCATGGCCAACATAACTTTGCTTGCTGTTTCTACTATTCCGTAATCTGGAATAGTAGGGACAGAAAAACAAGGGGCCCGGGGGAACGGAAAAGCACCAGCTAGTCCTGGCATGTTAAAAAAAATGGAAATCGGTGAAGGAAAAGTCATCCCTGAATGCATTTTGGAAGAAGTCTTTAGGTACAACATATTTGTCCATTTATGCAAGGCTTATCACAACTGGTTGTTTCATTTTATAGGTGTTACTGTTAATTTAAAACATATTGAACCACTCTTTTCTTTTCTGGTGGTGTTGCTGTCCTTTCCATGCTTTTTCTGCCTCTGGTACCAAGTGTTCTGTCAAATAAGTATTACAGAGGAACACTTATAATCTGTTAACTGGGATATCTTCATCTTTCAGAGACACATATGTTGCGGTAAGTCATAGCAGAACCAAGTGTGTGTGTGTTGAAGAAAAACCTTATGGTGTTAATTATCTTATGCAGCTGGTAATGTAGGTCAACCAATTCAAAGTGCTGGTGTTGGCCTATAAAGCCCTAAACGGTTCTGGCCCAAGCTACCTATCCGAACATATCTCTGTCTATGAACCCACCAGGACTCTAAGATCTTCTGGGGAGGCCCTGCTCTCGATCCCGCCTGCGTCACAAGCACGGCTGGCGGGGACGAGGGACAGGGCCTTCTCTGTGGTGGCCCCTCGGCTGTGGAACGCCCTTCCCATGGACGTTAGATCAGCCCCTTCGTTAATGGTGTTTCGAAGAAAACTAAAAACCTGGCTGTTTGAACAGGCGTTCGGATAAACAGTGCAATGTACACAATGAATATAGGAACGGAATTATGGATGACGAATTGGATCACGATTCTAGTTACGAGACGTTAATGTGTTGGTATTGATGTGTTATTACCATGTATATTATGTTGTTAATGGTTTTTAAATTTTGTATGTTGTTGGATTGACTTTTTGCTCTTGTTGTGAACTGCGTTGAGTCGCCTACGGGCTGAGAAACTGCGGTATACAAGCAAAGTAAATAAATAAATAAACCAGCAAGCTTGGACCACACCCAATGGGGTATATCTTTATAGGTTTTTCTAGAATACAGTGTGGGTGTGCGTGGTGGAGAGCTTATGGAGTTCTGGAGAGCTTTTTCTCTGAGGAGATCTATGCTCAAAGGCTTTGCTCTGGGGAGCGGTTTGGAGAAGTGACTCTGGAGGAGGTTATGGTGGAATAGCTATTTACTCAAGGTTTATTTTTGCTCTCTAAGGAGCCCCCGGTGGTGCAGTGGGTTAAAGCACTGAGCTGCTGAGCTTGTTCACCGAAAGGTCGCAGGTTCGAATCTGGGGAGCAGCGTGAGCTTCCGCTGTCAGCCCTAGCTTCTGCCAACCTAGCAATTCAAAAACATGCAAATGTGAGTAGATCAATAGGTACTGCTTTGGCGGGAAGGTAATGGTGCCCCATGCAGTCATGCTGGCCACATGACCTTGGAGGTGTCTATGGACAACGCCGGCTCTTCGGCTTAGAAATGGAGATGAGCACCACACCCCAGAGTCGGACACGTCTGGACTTAATGTCAGGCAAAACCTAACCTATTTTTGCTCTCTCATTTGATTTAAGATGAAGATGCCTTATTTTGTATTACTTACAAGGACTATGTAAGTTTCTTGCACTGTGTAATTTTTGTATGCAACATTACAAGTTTGTGTTTCATATCTGCTATTAAGAGTAAAGATTTTTCTGTTCATTTTTCCTCTTGTCTGTGAGTCTATTGCATTTGGACTTTGGGCGCTGGGTAAAATCCACTGCTGTGCAACAACATATTGTATATGCAACACAAACCTAAAGACCTACAGTACACAAAACAAAAGAAAATCTGTTTTATTTGTTTGTGAGCAAGATGCTGGATGCATTTTCTTGCTCTCCTTCCTCATCAGTTGGTTCTCGGTTTTGTCCAGTGAACAGCAGCCCAAGAGAATAATTACATTGAATGCCAAGAAAGCCAAAGGAGTCATATCACAGAATGAAAGGTTAACTCAAAGATAAACATTCATAGTAAATGAGACATTCGTGACTCATGAAAGCATCTCTGGAAACACTGTTCATTTGTGTCTTGGTAACAGTGTAAGCACTGGGCCCCTTGGGTATTTCGAATGTAATTCCTCATGGTGAAAGAAAGTGCAGGCGAGGTTCTGCCAAAGTACCAAATCCGCAGAACTATGCAATGATTTGCAGTGCATCTGGTCTAGAGGAAAGACAGATTGGTAGTACACAGCAGTTTAATTCAATAAACTATCTGGCAATAAGGAGTATACTTTCTGATGATGCTTTTTCATAAGTAATACAATGCCATTTGCATCTGTGTAAAAAGTATAAAATGCATTTCAAGTCTAGCACTGAAAACTACATGCATAGTAAAACAAAATGTAGAGAACAAAGAGTAACACTAATATATAAACAAATGAATATTTTCCATTAAAAAATCTACAATCAATTGATACTCAGAGAAGAACAATGATATTTCCCAAGGTGTCAGTCATTTAGAAGGTATTTCTTGTTCAAAAGTAAACCATAATAACCCCATGTTTAAGATTCAGGTGTCTACAATCAACAGCATTTGTTTGTTTTTAGTTTATATTCCTGCTTTTTGAGAGTAAATCTGCTGGCTACTCAAAATGAGGAGTCGGTGCTGTTCTGATTTCCTTTGTGCAAGAAAGGACAGCTAATGTATATGGAACTAGTGTAACTTTATGTAAGGAAAAGAGATTTAAAGATGGACTCAAAGCCAACCTTAAAAACTCTGGCACAGACACTGAGAACTGGGAAGCCGTGTCCCTTGACTGCTCCAGCTGGAGGTCAGCTGTGACCAGCAGTGCTGCAGAATTTGAAGAGACATGAATGGAGGGCGAAAGAGAGAAACGTGCCAAGAGGAAGGCACGTCAAGCCAACCCCGACCGAGACCGCCTTCCACCTGGAAACCAATGCCCTCACTGCGGAAGAAGATGCAGAGCAAGAATAGGGCTCCACAGCCACATACGGACCCACAAGAATACTGGAAGACGATCCTACTCAGAAAACGAGGGATCGCCTAATGAATGATGAAATTTTCATCCAAAAAAATTAGCTGCCATTCCAAAGGTCAAAGTGGCATTAATTGAACCTCCGATACAGTAAATTACCAGCCATACATACACGAAGAAAGTAGTTAAAATAGAATTCTATAGACAGGAAACAGTTTGTTCAAAAGTCAGAGGGAAGAGGGATGCCCTACAACTAGGCCTGTGCAATACATTGATTTGGCCCTCAATTAATCAGACCTTTAAGACCAAATTGGATCTGAATCAGATCAGTCTCAACTGGATCCCGAGTGAGCCGTTTTTAAAGCCCAACCAAGCTAAAATGTGAAGTGAAACAGTCCAGAATTCAACTACACATTTCTAAAGTAAACTCATAAGGGTATGTACTTTTAAAAAAGCTTCCTGTGGCCTCTGACTTGCAGAATTGTTTTAAATCAGTTCAGATTCCAACTCTGTGCCAGAAAGTTTATTCCTCTGCTGTGTTGGAACGGGCGCAGCAGCTTGAAGGTTTTAGACAATGCATCATTGTCCTGAAAGTCATTTTCTTTTCTTCTTTCTCTGGCTGTTCCCCTGTACTTTTCCTAGAAATGGCAAGCTCCGGTTCTGTCTGGAATTGTTCTATCTGAATCTCAAGATGTTTCTGAATGGCCAGGCCAAGAACTTCAGGATCCACAGCGGCACCATAGACCTCCCAAGTCATGCCTTCATCATCCCACCTCACTTCCCGCACCGGAGACTTTTCACCCTCTGCCTCTGGTTCCAGGTTAACTTCAGGGAACACGTGTGGGTAATCTTCTGTAGCAACAGAGGGGCTTGTGGCCACAGATTTACATTCCCTTGTTGGGAGGGTCTGCACCTCTACATCTTTGCATCCCAGGAGAGGCTGCAGTCCACGAGTGAGGTCATTCATGGAGGTCATCGTCCATGTGTCCTTAGTCTTCATGACCGTATGAACGCCATCTTGGTGGTTATTCAACACCACGTACATCGTCTTCATTTCCTCATGGCCCCTCTTTGGTTGTATACAAGGCTGGGCATGCAATATGTGCTCTCCACGCACGCTGCAACAACGCAATATGCGTTTTGCATCCAGACCTGACTCACTCACAGACGTCACCAGTTTTGGAAAGCTTGCTGGTTCAGTAGCAGGCAAAGTTGGACAGTACTCAGGATGGACTTGTTCTTTCCCTGATTCACTCACTGAGCAGACCAACCTTGGGATGAACTGAACAGAAGATATTGGCAAGGAATGGCAATAGGCTGGGAGAGTACCTTCTACCTTCATCGCAGAATCCTGTCTTATGTTGTAGGGAAAACTAGTATTGTTATGAATGGCCATCATGCCAGGAGGGTACATACCTGTTGAAAAGTTACTATAGATAAGTCCGCCCTGAGCATACATTGCTCTATTTGAGAAGTTATCTCCAGGCATATGTGACCCAAGATAATTTGGGTAATATGCCCCTGGATCTGGAAAAACAGTAACATTGTGTGCTAAAGCACCATTGTCAAAGACATTGGTTGGGACACTTTGGTCTCTGGGTGAATTGGAGTCCTGAGTCAAGTGGCTCTGAAAATCTGGGGCTTTTTCACATGTGTCTGATCCATACCTCGATCTTGGAAATGATGTATTGCCTGGAGATGTACTGTAACCACTGTTGGAACTCATAGCAGAGTAAGTAGCACTTGTCTCTATCTGGGGAGCAGAACTCGGTTGCTTGCAGCTGCAAGTCAGGTCAGAAAGGCTTCTCTGAACTGCAACTCCTGGTCCATCCATTGTGCTCCCACGCTGTAATTGTGCAGACAATGTTGAAGACACATTCTCGACAGTACTGCTCTTGATGTGTGGTCTAGAACCCATGCCTTCTCCAGAGGCTGGGGACTGGTCAACACCCAGGAAATGGCTAGTGTTTTTTGTGACACTCGGAGTGCTATCACTTGGTGACAAGCTGCTTGCAGTTCGGATAGTGGAAGCCATTTCTGAATGAGTAGAAGACCAGTCAGAGCTAGGTGTGCTTCGGGCTTCCCCGTCCTTTCCCTGGGCTTGGCAGGCAGAACTGCTGAGGCTCTTTCGGAGCTCCTGTTTGCTGCTGTGTCTCTCCTCAGAACCCATTCGCCCAACGCTGGCCAGATTGGAAGAGCTCTTGGAAAGCGGCTGGTAGTTGAGACCCAGAGTACTATTGCAGACAGAATTTAAGGTTTCCTGATGGGAATGGGCGTGGAGCCGGTGACTGTTGGTAGCCATGACAAGTGGGAGTTCTGTGGGAAGGAAAGGCAGACAATTAAAAGCCATTCACATTTTCAAAAGCTTTTATCACATTCTGAAAGAAATACATAACTTTGACTATCACTAAGTTCTTGTGGGTTTTTTCGGGCTATATGGCCATGTTCTAGAGGCATTTCTCCTGATGTTCTGCCTGCATCTATGGCAAGCATCCTCAGAGGTGAGGTCACCTCTGAGGATGCTTGCCATAGATGCAGGCGAAACGTCAGGAGAAATGCCTCTAGAACATGGCCATATAGCCCGAAAAAACCCACAAGAACTTAGTGATTCCAGCCATGAAAGCCTTCGACAATACTTTGACTATCACAGTTTAGACCTGCAGTGCCCTTTGGCCATTTTCTCCTAATTCTACTGGGGAAAATGGTATTTAAGTAGGTGAAATCTTTCCTCAGGGTTTGAGCAGCATTTCAGGTTTTGTTTTTTTTAAAAAATCTATTTATAGCTTCAATTTCTCTTTACTATTTTGTTCTTTTTACACAGCTCTTTGTATTAATTTTTAAGTATTGTTCTGTTATTCAGGTAGAGGCCACCATGGGGCGCTAAAGGAGGAGGATCTGAACATTAGGAAGAACTTCCTGACTGTGAGAGCCGTTCAGCAGTGGAACTCTCTGCCCCGGAGTGTGGTGGAGGCTCCTTCTTTGGAAGCTTTTAAGCAGAGGCTGGATGGCCATTTGTCAGGGGTGATTTGAATGCAATATTCCTGCTTCTTGGCAGGGGGTTGGACTGGATGGCCCATGAGGTCTTTTCCAACTCTTTGATTCTATGATTCTATGATAGCACTTTTTATGGGGGTGGAGGGTGGATTGAAGGAAGGAAATAATTTCCTCCTGTTTTCCTGTTATTCCCCTCCCCCATCCATGTCCCCATCATGGAGTTCGAAGCCAGCCTGGGTCAGAGTGAGCTTTGGACCAATTTGTGTAGCTTGCCATCGACCTTTGCAGCCTGAAAGACAGTTGCATCTGTCAAGTAGGAAATTTAGGTACCGCTTATGCGGGGAGGATAATTTACGACGCCATAAAAATCTCTAGCAAGAATGCAAAGAATGAGGAAGTACTTCATCAGTGTCACAAATGGACGGTGAAGCAACAGCTCCCCTGGTGGCTAGAATACTCTCATGGGGGAAAAAGCTGGAATGTTAAATAGCCTCTGTGTCTGTCTATATATGTTGTGTGTCTATGGCACTGAGTGTTTGCCATGTATACGTACACTGTAATTCACCCTGAGTCCCCCGCAGAGTGAGAAGGGTGGAATATAAATACTGTAAATAAATAAATAAATAAATAAATAAATAAACAAACAAATAAAACACACTCATTTATGGTATGTGAAGGGGGAGAGGGAATAAATAAGGTAAAAATTAATAATAAATAAATCTATATAAATAAAAATGTAATGTTTGTTTGTGGGATTAACTGAACTCAAAAACCAGTGGCCCAATTGACACCAAATTTGGACAGCATACATCTAACAACCCAATGTATGTCCTTCACTCAAATTTTTTTGATTTTGTCATTTGGGAGTTGTAGTTGCTGGGCTGTATAGTTCACCTACAATCATTCTGAATCCCACCAACAATGGAATTGAACCAAACGTGGTATAACAGGACTCCCATGACCAACAGAAAACACTAGAAGGGTTTGGTGAGCATTGATCTTGAGTTTCGGAGTTGCAGTTCACCTACATCCAGAGCGCACTTTGGGCTCAAACAATGAGGGATCTGGACCAAACTTGCCACGAATATTCCATATGCCCAAATATGAACACAGATGGAGTTTGGGGAAAATAGACCTTGACATTTGGAAGTTGTAGTTATTGCGATTTATAGGTCACCTACAATCAAAGAGCATGCTGAACTCCACAAATGACAGAATTGGGGCAAACTTCCCACACAGAACCCCCCTGACCAACAGAAAATACTTTAGGCCATCCAGCCCAATTCCCTTCACCAGGGCAACAAAATCTAATCAAAGCCCTCCTGACAAAGAGCCATCCAGTGATATGTTGCATATTCCAGAGTAGGCAAACCAGACACTCTCCACATCAACACTGACAAAGAAACAAGAAGAAATATTGTTTACCTACAAGCATAAAGAAATTACATAGATTAGAAACCATTACTTTCTTTTCCAGCTCACGAGACTGGGCCACAGCAACGAGTGGCAGGGGACAGCTAGTAAGTAATAATAAGGGAAATGGTTTTCCTCCTGAAACATCCCCCCTGTAAAATGGACTATCCTTCTCTCTCTAGCGCCCCATGGTGGCCTCCACCTGGATAATGGAACAGTACCCTTTTTATTTAAAAAAAGGACCAATATTATGTGTTTTGCAGGTTTTGAAATGACTTTATGTGAGTGCCACATTGTTTTAGAAGTCAAAAACATTTTAAATAAACACATTTTAAAAATACAAATAATTTGAGGAATAGCTACCAAAACAGCCTGACATACAGTACATACATTCATTAACCTGCAAAGCCCAGAACTTCAGAAATAAATCCAAGCAGCACATCAGGCAATCCTTCTTGAACTAATGTACATAGCCCCTACCTCCCAAGAGGACCATTTTGGCAGAGACAACCCTGAATAATCCCCTGTGTGTATTTCCAAACAGTTGTATGGACCAAGGAGTAATATAATCTAGACCAGGGGTCCCCAAACTTTTTGAACAGAGGGCCGGGTCACAGTCCCGCAAACTGTTGGAGGGCCGGACTATAATTTGAAAAAAAATATGAATGAATTCCTATGCACTTTGCACATATATTATTTGCAGTGCAACCCCCCCCCCCAAATAAAAAAAAAAACCAAAATCCCACACTTCTATATAAATAAAAATGTAATGTTCGTTTGTGGGATTAACAGAACTCAAAAACCACTGGACGAATTGACACCAATTTTGGACACAAGACACCTAACAACCCAATGTATGTCCTTCACACAAAAATTGATTTTGTCATTTGGGAGTTGTAGTTGCTGGGATTTATAGTTCAACTACAATCACAGAGCATTTTGAACCCCACCAACGATGGAATTGAACCAAACCTGGCACACATTTCTCCCATGACCAACTGAAAATACTGGAAGGGTTTGGTGGGCAGTGTTCTTTCGTTTTGGAGTTGTAGTTCACCTACATTCAGAGATCATTGTGGATTCAAACAATGATGGATCGGGATCAAACTTGGCACAAATACTCAATATGCCCAAATTTGAACACTGGTGGAGTTTGGGGAAAATAGAATCTTGACATTTGGGAGTTGTAGTTGCTGGGATTTATAGTTCACCTACAATCAAAGAGCATTCTGAACCCCATCAACGATGGAATTGAATCAAACTTGGCACACAGTTCTCCCATGACCAACAGAAAATACTGGAAGGGTTTGGTGGGCAGTGTCCTTTGGTTTTGGAGTTGTAGTTCACCTACATCCAGAGAGCACTGTGGACTCAAACAATGATGGATCTGGACCAAACTCTACACGAATTCTCAATATGCCCAAATGTGAACACTGGGATTTATAGTTCACCTACCATCAAAAGCATTCTGAACTCCACCAATGATGGAATTGTAACAACTTGGCACACAGAACTCCCATGAACAACAGAAAATACTGGGTTTAGTGGGCATTGACCTTGAGTTTTGGAGTTATAGTTCACCTGCCTTCACTACGCCGGCGTTCCCTGGCCACGCCCACCCAGCGCCGCTCTGTCAATTGCGGACACCCTCTGCTCCAGTCGCTCTGCTCTGCAGAGGACCCACCTGGGAGGCTTCTCCTTCCCACACAGGCAGAGCGGCCGGAGCAGAGGGTGTCCGCAATTGGCAGAGCGGCGCCGGGTGGGTGTGGCCACTCGGGCTGGAGAAATGCCCTCAGCGGGCCACAGACGGCCCGCGGGCCATAGTTTGGGGACCCCTGATCTAGACTGTATCCAAGACCAAATCTTTCCTGTGTTATTTTTTTACCCTGCTTCCTAAACTGCAACAGCATTTTGACGTATTCTACCAGAACATGTTCTCCCCTTCATTCTCCCCCCCCCCCCCCAAGGTCGGTGATAGGAATGATGTGGCCCTTCAGATGTTGGATTGCAAATCCCAGCAGCCAGCATAGCCAGTGGTGAGCTATAATACAATAACCTTTCAATGACTACATGATGCCTACTCTTGCTCCAAGATCTATCAGTTATCCGAAAACCATCTGTCATGTAATACTTTTGCCAAATCCTTGAACATGGTCCAGGTGTTGTAGCTACATTTCAGTGGCATTATTATCTAGCACTGACATTAACTTAACTTGACCCTTTAAAATTATGCTTCCATTTGGAAATCTGCAACGAATCTGCATTCGGGCATAGCAATCAAGAAAACATGACATTTAAAGTAAATACCTTATGACTTATGAGTACAAAACAGTTAGACAAGCAGAGGAAGGATTAGGATAGAAATGGAATTAACATCCACTATTTTTGGCTTAGCTTCAGAAGGGGATCGGGAATGCTTTTGCTAATTCCGCTGAATTGCTTGGCTCGAAACCAACACGTATATATATGTGTGTGTGTTTTCTGTGAGTTATGATTAAAGCAGTGACCTACTTAATGCACCAACAAATTTAGCACCTAAATATTAATAGATACTCTGTTTTAATACCCTGTATTGATGTGGCATAAAATCCCTGAAATTCTCTCTGATTTAAAATAAATGAACAAAGAATGGAAACAGTGTGTGTTGAAAACTTGGGAGGCGATTATCAGAACATGTGGTATTATATGGGCTGGGATTCCTGGGAGTTGTAGGCAAAACCACCTGGGGACTCACAAGTCGAGAACCACTGATTTAGTGTAATTTTGCTACCCCTCTATTCTGCTCTGGTTAGACCACACCTGGAATATTGTGTCCAATTCTGGGCACCACAATTCAAGAGAGATGTTGACAAGCTGGAATGTGTCCAGAGGAGGGCGACTAAAATGATCAAGGGTCTGGAGAAGAAGCC